CTATGTATCTTAGTGTAGTCTACTTGTGTGCCAAGTTATATTGAAATCAGATCAAAACTGTAGGAGGAGTAGCATTTTAAAGGAATTTCACAGAAAATTCTATTTTTAGTAACCATGCCAACACCGTTCATCGAAATCAAAAACCGATATACTATTCTATGTATTTTAGTGTAGTCTTCTTGTGTGCCAACTGCCAAGTTATATTAAAATCAAACCAAAACTGTTGGAGAAGTAGCGTTTTGAAAAATTGTTTACAGACAGACGGACGGCTAGACGGACACCAATATCGAATAAGCTCTTCTGGTCTCTGACCAGTAGAGTTAAAAAATTACATTTTTTGGACTCCTTAAAAATTATTAGGCATTACTACTGTTGCCCAGTTTACAATTCCACTGTTTTCACAATTCTTTAGTAGCAATGCCCAATAATTTTTAAGGAGTCAAAAAATTGTCAGTTATTTTATGTCCATTGTGTAAAGTATGACCCACTAATTCCATATCAGCAATCATTTCTTAAATCGGGTGAAAATATAGCTTTTTATGAATGTTTAAAAAATGCAGAATTCTTACAGAGTTATCCATCTCTCCGAGGAAAATGATTGGAAAGTGTACATCAGCAAATTAAAAGCAGATACTACAGGAATGCTAGATCAAAACAATTTTAGAAAATAACCTATGTACCAGTTGGTTAATTTTACCTGAAATTTCATACTATTCTCGTGCCACTTTCGAGGCATAGAAGAAAATATGACACAGAATGTAAAATGCAAGAGTTGTCTTCCTTTGTTTTCTTTATTTATACAGAATAGCTTATGTCTCATTATTCGTATGCTGTGTTGTCATTTAAAGAAATAAACCTATCAATAAAAATCAAAGTATGATTATAACTGAAGATTTATTTGACCTTCACTGTTTCCTTCACCAAAGTAAGTCAATCTTGAAATTCATTCTTGCTAACTTTGTGATGACCCTACTTTCGTTTTCGGACACGAAATAGCCTTTGAACGAAATTTCATGATTAAGATGCTTCAGCATAGTTCAAAAACAAGAATATAACATTGTATCACCTTGGCAATGAAGAAAAAAAGACTGCCAGAGGTTCAATTCACATTGTTTACATTTTTTCTACACACGTGTTGGCTGCCATACTGGATATGAACGATCCAAATTTTCTCCAGTCGCCCTTAGAAAAATTCGTATGGCAAACAAGAACGGTTGAATACTTGCCTGCATGTGATATGCATTTGTAGTGGTATAACAGAGAGAGCTACTTGTGCATGTTTTGACATATTACTCGTCCGTATATGAAAATTAGAGAATTTTTAATTTTTCAATCTATTTTTAAAACGACTAATTGTGCCATACTTCAAACATTCAGGGTTGGCAATACTAACTTCACAGAAAGGTCATCAAAACATTTGAAAACAAGAGGGAAAGTAGTTTATCAAGCCGTACTTTTCAAGCTCTTTTCCGATACGGAATCAAAACGAGGCTGAGTGAATCTGGAAAGTTATCTCCCCCTTGCTTGGGCATTGCTACTAAAGTCTTTAGTTCTGTTTAGTGTACAGTGTAGAGAAGGTTCCTTTAACTGTGGCGTTGTCCAGTTTACTATACCACTGTATCAGAACTCTTTAGTGTGCGGTGTAGAGAGGGTTCCTTAACTTTGGCGTTGTCCAGTTTACAATAGGCTTAAATAAAAAATATGTTTGTTTCCTGTAACATTCCCAAAAAATTCAGGGTCGGTAGGTCGGAATTTTTTTTTTCTTTTGCTTATGAATGGTCAAGCATCCCCAGACTGAATATACTAGGTGTCATATTTACAGTGGACACCCAACATGGCATCCAAAATGGCTGCCAAGCGGCAGAAAACGAACGTCAGAAAATAATGATTACTCTTAATAACTAGGGTAAATATAATCTAGGTTGAGATATCTTATGTCTCAATTTAAGCTACAAGCTAATTTTCTTTTTTTTAATAAATGGAATCAGCTGATTGATCAAATGGAGTTTTGCCATTTGTCAGAAAAAAAAATCCACCCTGGGGTAATTTGAATGGGTCGGTCGGGTTACAGGAAACAAACTTTTTTTTTTTTAGGCCATACCAATGTATCAGAACTCTTTAGTGTGCGGTGTAGAGAGGGTTTCTTAACTGTGGCGTTGTTCAATAGAATTAGAACTCTTTAGTGTACAGTGTAGAGAGGGTTCCTTAAACTGTGGCGTTGTTCAATAGAATCAGAACTCTTTAGTGTACAGTGTAGATAGGGTTCCTTAACTGTGGCATTGTCCAGTTTACAAAATCACTTCCTTGTTTATGTTATCGTAAACAATTGAAAAAATTAATTTACTTTGTTTACTAACAACCGCATACCCTTAACCCTAAATTATTCTTTCAACAATGATTTGTAGTCTTATACATACTTTCAACGGTGACTTTGATGCTTGTTAATACTCAATTCTAAATCTTCAAAGTCAGTCGCCGCGTCGCCGTCGGTTCTACTTGACCGAGTTGTCGTTCCGAAATTATTATTTCACATTACGATCCCGATGTATATGAACTAGACTCAGTTCAGCTTTTGAGCATATGTAAAGGCTTTTTTATTGCTTATTCACGTATTTTTGATAACCCCTCGTATATAAATTATGATAGCAGGAATATTACGAGGCATTGTCCTAAAAAGTCGTTTACAATGCACTGAGATGGCTCGTACCTCGTACACTTATTTAGAATCTAGCGTAGCGGAATTAGCCGAGGATTGCCGATTATTGACAATGACGTTTCGTTAAAATAAATGGTTTTATGTCTATCTTTTGTATATCAAAATATTTCTTATGGAAAACCAGTCAGATAGATTTCATTTAATATTATTGATGTAACTTTATAAATATTATATTTTCGTAACAAGAGGCCCATGGGCCTTATTGTTCATCTGAGTATCATTAATATATAATAACTTTCCAACATATTCAATTTGATTCCCTGAGAGGCCATGAAATTCACAATTTTGAAAGAGACACCATTGCTTATCATAACTATACGACCTAGCATGCTTACTTTTCTTATACTTAATACCCAGAGGTAAATCAGAGTAAAAAGAGAAAATGCATAATTTCCACTTTATCAGTTGTGCATCCCACCCCACAGGAAACACTGATCCTGGGGCCACATATTTCAAAATTTTGGAAATTTTATTTCACCATGTTGTTGATTAATACCTTAGTGCATATTTCAAAGCATTAACGAGGCCCAATCTAGTTAGAAAATTATGAACACTGAATGATAAAAAAAATAAATTCTTTGAAATATATTTGTATGTATTATGCTAAGAAATATTAGAATGAAATTAATTTTGTTACCTTGCCTTTATTGTAGTCAAAGGGGGGGGGGGGGGGCTGTCAATATATGGACCATTTTTCGTGTTTTTATACGCAATTACATACCAAAACTTTCAAATAAACAAAGAAATAAATATTGACAAATAAAAAAAATTTGGTGTGTCCACGCTCATTATTTTAATGGTTCAAAGTACGAAAACTGCATTTATTTTTATTAAATATATATGTACTTTAAATATTCCTTTTAATATTGCAATAAAAGCTACAACCAACTAATATAAAGCCCCGACCCAGCACCCCTGACCCTGGGACCACGAAATTCACAATTTTGGAAGAGTTTGTCATTTTCAACGTAACTATGCACTGTGTAGACTAGTTTATTTAATGCACAGAGGCAGAAAATTAAGAAAAAATTCAAAGAAATAATGCATTTTCACTATATAATCTATATACATTTATCCCCATCATAGCACTAGAACCCCTGACCCCGGGGCCATGAATGTCACAATTTTGGTAGAGGAGTCGATACTGATTACAATAATACCAACAGTCGCTGCATTAAAAAACAATGCAAAGAAAACGTAAGTGATTTTAAATTTCTTCATTCAATGATAATTGTGTACTTCTGCAAACAAAGTTTGTGATCTTTGGCAGATAAATGATAATACTTTCAGCGGTAAAAAGCACGATCCAAATTACACTCTTTCAAGAGATCTACAGCTCTTTAAAATGAAATTTAATAAAATTTTCTGAATATGTCAACATATTTTAGTCTTTGTAGAGGTCAGAATCAATTGTTTTTATAAAATAAAGTGATTTATTAACTATATGGACAATTATAAACCTTTAGATAAGCAGACATATATCAAAATTCAAATTATGGTTTATTTTACGGGCATTTAAAATGTTTCGTTGGGCAAAAACATGTTATCGGAAACACGGTTGAAGTTGCCGGATAATTCTCTTTTTCACGGGTGCAGGTTATCGGAAACCTAGGTTAAAAATTTTCCTTCTGTTTCAACAATAGATTTAAAAAAAGACGAAATTCCATGATATTCTGCGGTCAAGGCTTTCTGTTCTTAAAAAGTAACAGTTTGAATTTCAGCAAACGAAGTTTGTGATTTATGACAGATAATTGATTATACTTTCAGCAGCAGAAAGCACAAACCGAATCAAAAGATCTACAACTCTCTCAGGTAATATTTTATTTTTAAAAAATTCGGATTATGTCATCACAATTTAACTTTTGTAGAATTCAAATTTAATTTATTCTATCAAACTGGTATATTTATTCTATGGACAATCAGACACCTTTAAATCAGCAAACTGAGATTAAAAATCCAAATTAAGGCTTAGAAAACAGTCATTTAAGATGTCTCGTAAGTTGAAAACAAGGTTGATGTACATAGCTGGATAATTGGGTTTTTGAAGTTGAAGGGTGTATATATATGTTATTGGAAACGCAGGTTAAAATGTTTCCTTTAGCTTCATAAATAGTTCGGAAAAAGTCCATTATAATCTGTCAATTCTTGAAAAAAGCAAACGTAATGTGTTAGAAGTAATTTTGAAATTTATTTTCAAGGGCTGTACGTAAGGTTCGTAAGTTTGTTTTGATATGAATGGTTATAAATAAGATTAATCATATAAATGATAGAGACGTTGCGCACGGTGTTGGTACAATAATATCGAACTCTTTATGTCGCAAAGAAATTTGGCGGTTTCGCAGTTTCAAATTAACTTTAAATGAAAAATGAAATCATTTATGTTATCTAAGGTAATGAATAATTCTTAAAATTTTCTTTTAAATAATTTAAAATTATTTTAGCTATGATGTGGCGTTACTCAGTTTTGATAATTTACGGCGAATTTCTCATGTCCGACGTTACATCAATTATTGTTCGCGCAACTAAATGGTTTAAAAAAAAGCACTTAAAATTCCTAGAATTAAATGACATTTAGGGGGATACAATAAAATATATTCATTCTTTAAGATATTGTTGAGTTTTTAACATCAATTTATCAATTTCACGAATTTAGACTGGAGCTACAGTGCGTAAGTAAAATGTCTAACAGTAAGAAATCGTTTCCTTACACTGACATTAGCTGAAATGTAGATGTGTAGCAGACATAAATCCCAGACAAATATTAATTTTTGTGAATAATCTTTTAGTACATATATTTCTTAGATTAATTTAATTGATACATTTTATATTTCTTTTCCAACGTAAATATTAGGAAGATTTTCTTAAGTGTAGCCATTTTGTTATGCTCGCACGAGTCAATGTATTGTTACTAAATATGTCTCAGTAACATATCAAAAATATATAAATTAATGTAAGATATAAAGAAATCATGTATGTAGCTTGAAAGAACATTTAATACCACATTTACTCATTACACAATCTTTACAGTAATGGACCACATGAAATAAATGCAAGCATCAATGAAAGTGTAGCCATTTTGTCACAGGTACGAAAAACGTCATTTTACGCAATGCGTACATATGACGTCGGGAGCGTCAAATTATTATCGCCGTGGCTTTTTCCATGCAGGTCCGTAGTACCCGCCCACAGGTAATTGTAAACATGCAGGAACCATCCCCACCCACCCCCATTATTCAACTCCGGAGCTTTTTGTAAGAGATTTTTTCTCAAATTATATTTACATTTATTACACTAAATCATCATGTGTACATGTAACAAAGGTAAAAAAAAATTATGAAAACCCCGAAAATGATATCGTTCAACAAACCACTAAACGATGTACGATGTACGCACTATAAGAGCCCCCCCCCCCCCTTCTTTCACGAAAAATATTACAATGATTTTAGAATTTTCAGGATAAAGCAGATTTTTAATAATGGTGAAACGTCTCCATCCCTCCTTTTTTCATCCCCTCAATATAATAAATTGATACTTATTTTTTTTAATTCAAAATGACACCAGTTCCATTGAAGATTTTTTTCTATATACACCCAAAGCGCATGCGGACGCTATATAGAAATAAAAGACTTGTAACGAACTTACTGAAAAAAAATATTGAAGGAAGTGGAAAGGGAAAACTACATATATATTTTCTCTTTAAAAGACAGACAAGTGAAAAAAATAGAAAGATGAATATTCACTGAGTGCTTTTGGCATTTCAGTAATTAAATTTTTATTATTAAGATGTAAACATCTAAATATTTCAAAAAAGAAGGTTCAAAATTTGAACATTAAGTGCCCTTTAATTTTTTTTTTTATATTTTTGAAAATAAAATTCATTCAAAGATCTAAAATATACAGATATAAGGTTCAAAACGTTATGACAACGTTAGGACTTTTTCACGTTATTTTGACGTAACGTCAGTGTGTACCAACACCGTGCGCAACGGTGTTGAACTATTCTATCTGTTTAATCATTTTTTTTCATGTTTTCCATTCAAGTGAACATCCTTAAGCTTCAGGAGGTTTCAGAGGTAAATCTTTAATCTATCATACATGTAACAATTACTTTGTATTATGATATACTGAGTATTACATTATTATTTAAAAAAAAAAACAAGTTCCTCCAGGATCCCCGGAATCACTTCACAGTTTGATTCATTTTCAGTTCTTCATATGTTTAACTTTTTCTACAGTCAGTGATTGGCGTTTTCAATTACACTTGGGCGGGGGGAGGGGGGAGGCAGAGAATTTTTGCTTCAGTTAAACATCCAATAGCAATGCAATATCCATGTGAATCCCCCCTCAATCTATCTGAAATGAGCTCTATTTACACAATGCATCTGGCCAATAATGACGAAGAGCACACTGCTGGATGTAACCGTTTATCAGGGGGTCCTTATTCCTTCTTGGTATGTTAAACAACCTCCGATGTCTTTATAGATCCGTGTTTACGATTTCGTATTTTTTATGTCAATCTCTTTTCTCCTCAAAAGTTTTAATTATATGTCATATTGTTTGATCTAACGCCCTATTTAGAAATACATTTAACCACCTTTAATTTTATTGAGTTTGAACTCTTTAAATGCTAATTATGTTCCCCAAACGAAGTTGGGGAACATATTGTTTTTACTCTGTTTCTTATTAAGGTCTTCCGTCTTCAGCGGAAGACCTTCTTGTTATTCTTCGGTTTCTTTTTCCCTATTCTTACCGATTTTGTGCACGCAATTTCTCGTAATCTACCG